ATCTGTATTTTTGACAGCTCCCCAGGTGAGAGCCACTCCCTTGCCTAGCATATAACCTTCTGTCTCCTTCTGAGACCACCATTTTTCTTACATGGGTTTTGATTGATTGGGGAGACAGCTGTCATGCCAGGGAATCACAGGCTGTAGTCATTTCTGACTGGCAGGCCCTGGTGCTGCAGCTCCGTTAGTCCTCACCACTGTCCCTGGCACAGGTCTCAAGCTTCAGATGAGCACTGTGCTGCTGGACTGTGGGCATCACGGCACGTGGGGGGGCAGGTTGCAGCTGCCCAGGTTAAGGGATGCGAGCACTAGCTAAGGAATCAGGGACCCTCACCCTAGCCCCAGCTCTGCCTACAGTCCAGCTCTGGGACCTCCAGCCTGCCCTTTGCAGGCCCCTGTGAAAACACGGAGTTTGGGCTACCTCAGGGTTTTTCTAAACGTTTTCCCACCAGAGGAAATCTTCCACAGAAGCCCAACAAAGAGAACAGACACAAGTAAAACTAGTCTGGTTGAGCTGCGTGGGCACCAAGGAGCCAGTGCCTGCCTGTTTCCCTGCCCCCTTCCCCAGGCTGCCCCAAAGCACCTCCAAGGAGCCCAGGGTCCAGAAAACATAAGCTGATTAAATGATGCTCTGGACCAACCCTTGTATTACGCAGCTGGAAACTCCACCTCGAGTCTCAGGTTCCAACTACTTGTACTGACGTTTTGCTTGGGGTCGTGCATTCGGGTCCTGGTCTCTGGGTTCAGAAGAGGGGCTTGAGGGCTGCAGTGGACTGCTGGGCATCACCCCCTGCCCCCTGAGGGTGGAAGAAGGTTTCAGGGCTCTTGCACGCATTAGTTTTAGACCAGCAGGCTAAAACTCAGCCCCTCGGTGTCTTGCTTTCAATTCTCGGGCTTGTAAGTCACAGTATTTGTTTCTTTTGCTCTCTAAGGAGGTGACTTTTTTGTTTGTTTGGTTTGGTTGGTTGGTTGGTTGGTTGGTTTTTCCCTAATAAAATTTCATTTTCCTCTTAGCTACTAGTGGAGATAATATATATCGGGAATCAAAACAAACTAAGAAAGAGTCTCCACCAATACAAAGCCCCAGTATATATATACCCTTTAGGGACAAATGAGCTAATCACCACTGTTTGCAGCTGTTCCATTGCTCTTCGCAGCCTGTGGGATCCGGGGGTGAGTGGGATTGCTATGGGAGCCAGGGAAGACATTGTGCTCTGGGCTACAGAGGTGCTGCCAGGAAAACAGCACCTCACAGAGGGACACTTAACCTGCCTGAAGAAATCCAGCCAGTCGTGGAGCTGGCTCGGAGCCTCATTCTGTGCTACGGGTCCTCTCTGAAAACCAGAACACAGAACCGTTTAAACCCCAAGCAAGACTCATAACAAGGTTATGTTTCCCTCTCATTGTCAGAGAAGCAATGAACCTTGATTTCAGGCACGCCAGCCTCGTTGCGCAGCCCAATGAGTGTGGCCGTGTTTGTGGTTTGTCTGGTTGATGTGTGTTTACGTTTTAAGCACCAATTTTCTTCACCCGTATTTTTTACCAGAGTTGTTACATTTAAGATTCCATCTAAATAGATTCATGCTGAAGGAGCCCTGAACCCATTTCTCAGGCTCACAGATATCAGCTTGGTTTAGTGAAAAGCATGCAGGCTTCAGATTGGGCAGGTGGAGAGACAGTCCAGTCCAGTGCTGTTGACTAACCGGTAACTTCTCTGCTAGGCAACCGTTTCTTTATCTGTAGAATAAGGTGGTAACGTTCACTGACCTCAGATCGTCGTTGTGTGGATTAAATAACAGATGGTGGTGTTCTGGGGACCAGACCTTGTACGGCATGAGCGTTCCAAAGTGGTGACCACATCACTGGCAGTATTGTCAATAGCAACAGTGCCTGTGTGTGGTTCCTCCCACAGTGTCTGGGGGTGAATGCTCAGAAGTGGCTGGAGGCTCACCTCCAGCTCGAGAAAGCTCTAGGCATCAGTGGGGCTTCTTCGTACTGTGAGCTCTGCAGCAGTGCCGGGGCAGACCTGAGATGGGAGTTAAGATTACTTGGTTCATGCAATCAAAAGGGTTTCCTTTTTGCCACCAAACCATTGAGTTACATATGGGATTCTGGAATGTTACCTCCCTGTTCCTGTTTGTGACCTCTGACTTGATAAATGGAACCTGCTGTTTTATATGTTTACCTAAGCAATATAATAAGTGAAAAGGAGCAGTATGTGAAAGTTCCTAACGTAGTAGGTTGCACATAGGAGTAGCTTATGGTTGTTAAATAAATCAGTAATAATGCCACTTTCTAGCTGGGTAACTTAATTTTTTTTTTTTTTCTTTTTTAGCTCTAAAGCAAATCCGGAAGTCCATAATTACCAGGTGAGACTGGTTTTTCAGAGATTTCTGTGTCATACTTCTTCAAACCTTTTAATTCTTCTGCATCGGATAATCGTTGAGCTTCTATTCCAATTTTGAAGAATATTAACAATAAGTGGTTTTGGTTTTGTTGGGGTTTTTTGAGAAAACAGTACGAGGAGAGTGCTTGCTGACCGTTGCTACCTCTTGATCATCTGAACTGCCTGTGTTTTTTGGCCTCGTTGAATGGCAGGTAGCAGGGCCATGAGTTTAGGTCTCTGGGTGATCAGATACAACCTCTTCGAGTCATTCAAGCGAGGCAGCTTTCTATCAGAAGTGGGTTCTAGGCCTAGGGAACATGAGTTCCAGGAGATGTGCACCAAGGAGAGGATGCCTCCGTTAACTGTCTGGGCAACGTTGCATCCCTTAGCTCCCTTCTTGGATTCTGCGGTGTCTGCTACCCTGTCGGAAGTGCTGAGACATCCTACAAGAAAAACACGTTTTCCTTTTTTTTTTCCCTGTTTTCTTTTTATTGTGGTAAATACACATGTAACAAAACATTTGCCATTTCAGCCTTCTTCACATCTACAATTCAGTGACATGAATTACCTTCATCACGTTGTTCAACCATCACCATTATCTGTTTCTAAATTTTCCTGTCACCCTTAACAGCCACTCAGTGTCCTCTCAACAGTGAGTCCCCTTTCCCCCTCCCTTTTGAATCCAGTGTTTCCCACAGGTCATTTGGTCAGAGGATACCCTCCCCACAAAAAAAACTGACTTTCTTTTTCTTGTGGGCAACCCATTAGCATCTGTGGAGCAGGGGTTTTGGGAACCCACTTTGTAAGCACTGACCTAGGCCCGTCTCCTGCAGAAGCGTGGCTGGGATTCCTTGGCTCCTGCTGTGCTTTTGCATGTCAAAGTTGCCCCATGACAGGTATGACCCTGTGGCATGGCCAACCACGGCCCAAGGCCGCCTACCTGCCTGCCCACCCAACACAATAGCAGAGCCTGGTAGTATTCAAGGTGCAGTCCACAGCTTAGCTGGAGTCAAACCCTTTCCCCAAACAGCTGCTGGCAGCTCTCTCTAGCTGTTCACACCTTCCCCTGTTCACACCTCCCCCCCCCAAACAGCTGGGAGTGGCTCCCCCTAGCCGTTCACACCTTCCCCCTAAACAGCTGGGGGTGGCTCTCACTAGCCAGTTCACACCTACCCCCAGGAGCTAGCTATTCTCACCTCCCCCCAAACAGCTGGGGGTGGCTCTCCCTAGTTGTTCACACCTTCCCCCAAACAGCTGGGAGTGGCTCTCCCTATTCACACCTTCCCCCTAAACAGCTGGGGGTGGCTCTCACTAGCCAGTTCACACCTACCCCCAGGAGCTAGCTGTTCTCACCTCCCCCCTAAACAGCTGGGAGTGGCTCTCACTAGCTGTTCACACCTTCCCCTGAACAACTGTGGGTGGCTAAGTTCATAGCCTTCTACAGCCGGGCTCCTAGTTTCTCCTCTGCATTTATTCCTCACTGCATCTCATCACACACCGTGTGCTCTGCTCTCAGGAAACTGTGTGATGGTTGCCCTATAATGCATTCCTTATTCCCTGCACATGCTCATCTGCCAGGGTCCCTTCACCTCCCATCTGTACATTCAGATATCCTCAAAGACCAACTCGGAAGCCACGTCTTCTACAGTGCCCTCTCTGAACCTCTTAATTGGAAGTCACCAGCCCAGTGGTTCTCAACCTAGTGCCTGTTGAAACCATCTGAAGAGCTTAAAAAAAAATAACCAATGCCTTACCCTGGAGAGATTGAATCAGTAATTCTGGGGGTGGAATTGGTTGTCAGTGTAGTTTCAAAGCCTCTAAGGTGATTTGAAAGGAGCTCTGGTGGTGTAGTACCTCAGGCATTTGACTGCTAACCAGACGGTTGGCAGTTCAAACCCACCAGCCGCTCTGTGGAAGACTGGGAAATCTATTTCCATAAAGATTTACTGCCTCAGAAGCTGAAAGGGGATCACTATGAGTTGGAATCGACTCAATGGCAGAAAGTTTGGTTTTTTGGAAGGTGATTCAAATGGGCAGCCATACTGGGAAACCCCAGGCTTATACGGACCTCTCCTTCTGGGAGACTTGCCACTGCTTGTGGAGGAAGCATCTACAGCTGGTGACTTCTAAGTTGGAGCCAACTTTCTTCTGCTGGGTGGGTTTGACTATCTAGGGGACACTACTCTCCCAGGTTTCTGTGCCCTGTCACCAGTCTGGTGTTGAATGCTACCAGAATGAGCTGCTCGATAAAAGATTAGTCACGTCGGAGACGTCTCTGAATTATTCTCTTTCTTGGTCTTTCATTACTGTGAGTGGGATGTATTCTGGTTACCTAGTACCACTCTGACAAGAATATACCACAAATGGAATGGCTTAAACAGGAGTTTATTCTCTTACAGTTTGGAGGCTTTAAGTCTGAGTTCAAAGTGCCAGGCTCTAGGGGCTGGGTGAAAGCCCCTCAACCTTGGGCTTCAGGTCTGCCTCCTGCTCCTGGCCCACTGAAGCTAGAGGCTTTTCTTCACTCAGACATCTGCTGGCTGCTGAGGCTGACTAGCCCAAGGTTGACAAGTAATAAGGCTGTTGCTATGTGCCGTCGGCCCTGACTCATAGCGGACCCCTCCTTGGGTTTCCGAGGGAGTATCACTACGGAAGTAGATTGCCCCATCTTCCTTCTGAGGAGTAGCTGGTGGGTTTGAACCGCCGGCCTTCTGGTTAGCAGTCAAGTGCCTTGGGCACTATGCTACCAGAGCTCCCAGTAATGAGACAGTCCCAATATTACCAAACCACACGGCAGACTTAACTTGAGTCCGTTAAAAGTCCCAACATCGGCAGAGCATGGCAGACTGCTGAACAATAACATGGCTACATGCGAGGTTCAACCTATGCCATACACTAGAGAGACCATTCCCCAAGGCTTCTCTTTATGTACAGGAAGCAGACCACATCCCTAAGGCAGCTACTCAGCTGCTCCCAGTAGATTCCACCTTGGGGTTGATTACCAGTCTCACCATGGGGAATACTCCATCCAGCTGCCCAGCACTCAACCAGGCCCAGCCAGGCTGACACACAAGCCTCACCACCACAGGATGCAATCCCAGCATACACCATCTTTATGAGGTTTCCAGTTGTTACTTGTTAGCAGAATTTTGTGACATTGACTTCCATACGTGAAATCACATTCCCATCGTGCACAGAGCCTGGAAAGGACTTCAGAGTTTTGTGCGTAACAGGTTAAAAAACATGATTGGAGAAGCTCAGCTCTCCCACATACCTGGCTTTCTTTAGGTTCCTGCGTCTTCTTCGTAGACTGTTCTTTTGTGGCGGGATTTTCAGGTGTGAGTGACCAGAGTGTTGTGGGGGAGGAGGAGGTTTGCTGCCACCTCCTTAAGCTTGAAGAAGCGAGAAATAAGTAAATAAACGAAGCAAAGCAGCCCAGCTCAGCAGCACCCTGTCCTCTCCCCAGCAGCCTGGCGGTTGGGTTATCACTGCGTGCTTGCTGCTTACTGTGACCATCGCGGGGATTTTTATTTATGGAAATCAGATCCGTGGAATGCCGTTACCTAGCCATTGTTCTCGGCGTCTTTGGCACCCAGTGCTCCTTTTCACCTTGCCAACCTTGGAGGTTCTGTCTTGCTCATCAAGGCTTGGGAGGAAATGGACTGAGACAGGAACGTCCTGGGAGGTGGCCTGACGGGCATCTGAGTCCTGTGAAGGGTCTTCAGGAGGAGGGTGGTACGGCATTGAGTTTACTCTGTGCATAGCGAGGTTAGCCAGCTGCAAAGAGTGGGTGTTGCATTCTCAGTGGGGATGCTGTTGGTATTTTGGGAGGGACAGTTCCTCATCGGAGAATGTCCCTGGAATTAAAGGACCTTTAGTTTCCCTGTTTTCTGCCCTTTAATTAAAGGTAACCCTCCAGTTATTGTGACATGTGCCACACATATTCCCAGTTGTCATAACTGCCCTTATTGACAACCATCTTGGTTAACATTACAATTCCACTTGACAGCTTTTGCATTTTGTGAGTTGGGATTGACAGCACACAACAGTGGCAAGCTTTCGAGTTTTGTATATAGTACCAAAGGAGACTGGGGAAGGTTCTGGAATCTCCTCCTTTCAGGTCTTTAGGGATAAGATGCCCACCTTTCTCTGGTGAGTGTCTTTTGGTTGTGTTTGAAGATGGGGATTAGACTAGAGCGTTCTAGATTAGTCATTCTCTCTTGTTGAAGACCCAGCTGATGAAGCCATGTTTCGAGCCTAACTGTGTGACTCGAACACCTGCAGTGGTTTAACTTTGAGCAGACCATCTAGATTCTCTGGGTTTCTGTATCCTCTGAAAGAGGAAGATGTGAAGAAATCGCATTGGGGAGATTCTGAACTTCGGTCCACCTCTCGAATTCTGCTACTGAGATGTTTCTGCCAGATTCATTTTTCCTGAAGCATGTCCTTTTGGGGGCTGCAATCTTAGCTTGCTGACAGGCATTGTTGCAAGAGAGGACACTGTCCCACTGCACCCCAACCATGATGGCACAGTGGTTAAGCAGTTGGCTGCTAACCAAAAGATCTGGTTCAAACCCACCAGCCACTCCATGGGAGAAAGGTGTGACAGTCTGCTTGCATAAAGATTAAGACCTTGGAAACCCTGTAGGACAGTTCTTCTCTGTCCTGTAGGGTCACTATGTGAGTTGGAACCAACTTGATGGCAACAAGTTTGGCTTATTTATTTTATTTTTTGTTCTGTAACAGAGGGCGAGTTTCTGCTTATGAACTGAAGTGGGAGGGGAGGAGGGGAGGGTAAGGGAAGAAATAATTTAAAAAGTAATGGAGGTAATGACTTAAATGTAAAAACAAAAAACTCCCTAACATGTTGCCATTGAGTCAGTTGTCATTCATAGTGACCCTATAACGACCCTATAGAACAGAGTAGAACTGCCCTTGGGGTTTCCAAGGCTGTAACCTTGATAGAAGCAGACCCCCATCTTTCTCCTGTGGAGTAACCTGTTTGTTCAAACAAGTTTGTTTCAAACTCAATGCCCTGATTGACAACCATCTTGGTTAACATTACAATTCCATTTAACTTTTTGGTTAGCAGCTCAGGCCTTGACTGGTGAGCATCAGGGCTCCTTACTTAAAGGTCAGAACCAAACCCACTCCTGTCAAGTCCATTCCAAGTCACAAGTGACCCCATTGGGTTTCCAAGGCTGTAAATCTTTATGGAAGTAGATTGCCTCACCTTCCTCCCATAGAGCTGCTGGTGGCTTTGAACTGCCGACCTTCTGGTTAGCAGCCAGATGCCTTACCCACTGTGCCACCAGAGCCCCTAAGGGACCTACCAAAAAAAAAAAAACTCACTGCCATTGAGTCAATTAGGACTCATAGCAACCCCCTTTGGGTTTCTGAGGCAAAGAGACTTACACTTTTGTTTTGAGAATCCCCATGGTTTATGGCACTGTCTGGGACTGCTGCCCTCTGCAGGACAGAAGTGGATAGGCAGTCAGGCTGTCCAGCCAGGGAGATCTGTCTTCAACTCACATCCTGCAGATTCTGTGAGAGTCACAGGTCTGCATTTATTTTCTCATCTGAAAATGAACCAATTCCGTCCTGTCTCCCTGCCTGCCTCCCTCCCTACCTCCCTTTCTACAGTTTTATCAGGATAAGAAGTGCTTTGGATACTGTTTTTATTTTTGGATTTTTTTTTTTGGATCACGTTGTCGTTGTTATGTGCCGTCGAGTCGGACCCGACTCATAGCGACCCCTCCTTGGGTTTCCGAGGCAGTATCACTACGGAAGTAGGATTGCCCAACCTTCCTTCCGAGGAGTGGCTGGTGGGTTTGAACCACCAGCTGTCTGGTTAGCAGGCAAGTGTCTTAGCCACTATGCTACCAGAGCTCCCTCCAGTCCATTAGAGAATTAAAATTGCATATACAAAGGATAAGAACAGAGAACACCCACAGCCCTCTCACCCGAGTGTCCCTGTCCTGTCCTTATCTGTGTGCACATGTAACTCCTTATCTGTGTGCACATGTAACTGTGGCTGTAGTCATTTTCAGCAATGGCAAAAACTTGTTTCTGAAAGAAGACATTGCCTAGCACGTTTCCCATCTTTCTGGAACCTTCCCCATCTTCTTTGGGAGAGACGAATATTGCCTGTGCTGCCTTCACTTCTTCTGAGGGCCGCTGCCAGCCCCTTCACAGGAAAGGCTGCCTCAGTAGATGGTGCTTTCAGAACCAGGCTCTGTGTTCCAGCCCCCTTTGGAGGGTGGGGAACTTGCTCGTCCTGGGAAATGTTTGCCCCCCCGCCAGCGTGTAGTTAGGGCTTTTCTGTACACAACCCCTTCAGCTCCTTAGGTGAATGCCGGTAAAAGAAGCAGCAAAGAAAGTAATAAAAGCTGGAATAAGAAGGCAAGAGAATAACCCGGTGTGACGTTTCATTTGCAGCCCCAGCACCATCCTGTCCACCCCAGCCAGCCTCGGTGGCACCCTCACCCTCACTCTCCCAATGTCAGGTAAGTGCTTGAGCCATTTCAAAGCTGCGCTTGTGAAATACCTGCTTCTCTGCAAAGTTCAGATTTGACTCGCAATTCAATATCAGAAACCGGTCTCCACAGTCGCATTGTCACGGGAGACACGGTAATTTGCCCAGGAAACAAAACAGTGAGGAGACCAGACTCACTCGCTTACGCTTTGTGAAATTAAAATGAATAGTCGTGCCTTGGACATTCTTGGTTTATGGATTAGAAATGGTACTTCAAATGTCTAAGTAGTTTTCCTGCCCTTAGAATTCATGTACTTAACGTTTGTAGTGGTGGGGTTTTTTTAATGACTTTTTTTGGGGGGGAAAGGGTGTCTAAGGGCATGATGGGAGTTTACTTTTCTTGGTGGTAGATCTTTTCCCCTAACCCAGGGGTTGGCAAATGGGGTTTTCCATACAGGGCCAAATAGTCAGTGTTCTTGGCTTTGAGGGTTATTTGGTCCTTGTGGCAAGGAATCAGTTGTGTCATTATAGTTAAGAGCAGCCATGGAACTACGTAAATGAGCATGCACGGCTATGTTTCATTGAAACTTACAAGGACCGGCCAAACCAGAAAACCAAAAGCACTGCCGTCGAGTCGGATCCGACTCATAGCAATCCCTCCTTGGGTTTCTGAGGCAGTATCACTGCGGAAGTAGATTGCCCAACTTTGGCCCACGGGCTATAGTTTGCAAACCCCTGCCCTCGCCTCACTACAGCCCTTCGGAAGTACTGACATCAGTAGTGCTGCATTTACGGTTAGGCTGGAGAGTTGGCAAATGCTAGTCTTGTGCAGGTTGATGTTCCTTTTAAAATGTGATTTGTAGATCAGTTTTAATTCATGTTTATGTGTGAGAACTTTTGCAGAAACAGTAATTCAGTTTGCTTGAAGTTATTTCTTGGTGAGGTTGCTAGCCTTGCTTCTTGAGAAAGTATGGAGAATGGAGGGATGGGAAGAAGTCCACTTAGAACAAGATGAAGAGAGCAATTAGTTACTGATGTTCTTACTAAGTCAGGTAGGAACACTGTAAGAAGAGTTCAGCTGGTTCAGAAATACTTGATTTTCATGTAACTTTTTTAAGCAGGTTCAGCCAGTGGGGTGGATAATTCTAAATGTTTCTGTCTTTCAAAGACAGTTTATTGTCAGACATGAGAAAGGGAAGAGATGAAGAGATGTCTAGAAATGGTATTTTTATTAACATCATTTTTACAAACTGTTCCTTTGTCATTGCCTTCTGGTATCATCAGTTTCGTTCCAGAGCATGACCTGGCCCAGCATTTCACAAAGGGGATTCTGAGGCCAGCACCTCGGAGCAGTGCTCCCGTGTGGTGACTCTGCTGACTGGCAGCTTCAGCGTCACCCGGGAGTTTGTTAGCAGTGTTAATTCTTGGCCCCACCCCAGACTTACTGGATTCAAATCTCTGAGGGTGGAGCCTAGTATTCTGTGTTTTAAGAAGCTCTCCAGAGCTGAAGATGGGGCAATCTACTTCCGTAGTGATACTGCCTCGGAAACCCAAGGAGGGGTCGCTGTGAGTTGGTTCCGACTCCACGGCACGTAACAGCAATAACAACCAGAGCTGAAGGGTCCTTGGGTGGCACAAACGGTTAATGTGCTTAGCTGGTAACCGAGAGGTTGGCGATTCCAGTCCGCTCAGAGGCACCTTGGAAGAAGGATCTGGTGACCCACTTTCAAAAAATAAACTAACCAAAATCTCACTGCCATCGAGTCGGTTCCAACTCAGAGCGACCACCACTGGGTTTCCGAGGCTGTAAATCTTTACAGAAGTAGACCGCCCCCATCGTCCTTCCACAGAATGGCTCGTGGATTTGAACCACTGACCTTCTGGTTAGCAGCCAAATGCCTTATCCACTACGCCACCAGAGCTCCTTACTTTCAAAAAATGAGCCATTGAAAAACCTGTAGAGTGCAGTTCTCCTCTGATACATGTAGGGTCACCGGGAGCTGGGGTCATCGCAACAGCACGTGGTTCCCAGAGTTCAGAGCTCAGGAAGCACAGCCTAAGATACCCCATGATGAGAGTCCATTGACCGGACACGTTTGGCCGACGTTGCATAGTGCATTCACAGTGCACGTCAATATGAGAGAAGTCCTGCCACACCTTTTTACCTTTCACCTGGCTTCCCCAGACTGCTTTGAGCCTAAGATAGCATTTGAGAAATGATGACACGACCATAGACAGCTTTTCCCCACTTGAAAGCTGACATACGATCTGCATCTGAATTTCTGAAATACTGAAGTAGAAAATCACTTTGTCTTCGTTTTAAGTTGTCACCCTGCCCATTCCCTTTGTGTTTGTGTTGTTTGACTCACGTGTGTCTGGATTTTCTTTCATCTCCCCACTAACCATTCACTCTGCAAACAAAACAGGCCATCCTTTCAGGATGACAGGTCGCCCTGGAAAGCACCGGCCAGTGGAGATGGCGGCCATTTTGATTATGTCTACGACCAGAACCAGAAGAACTTAGGAGGAATGCAGAGTGTGATGTATCGAGACAAACTCATGACTGCACTTTGACAGACTGAAGCTCCATCCCATCCACCATCCTAGTTTCATTCCATTCCGTGAAACGTGTCTTGGCATCACGTGGATGTGTTTGTAAAAGTGTCTGGAAGTTGTTTGCAGTGTCCGTGTAAATATCTGAAAATAGCTATGATAGCTAGTCATAAGCTCCTGTTGGCTGCGTTCCAAACACAATGAAGGTAGTGAAAGACTCAGGAATCATTTTGATATTCTGATTTTAAAATTGGAGTAACAGTCTATGTTTATTGTATTGCTATGTACCTGTTATTTCTCTGTTATTTAATTAATGGGACCAAACACAAGCAGAAAAGATTATAGCCTCTAGTACATCGCGGGGCTCGAGATCGCTGGGGCCCAGCCTCCACCACTGTGTGAAGTTGGGCAACTCATCTTTGTTACTCTAAGCATTTTCCCCACTTAAATAGCAGAGATGGACCAAATGACCTCCAAGCTTCTTTCCAACTGCGAAATTCTGTGACTTTATTAAAATTTCCTTTTTTAGGCCGAGGACATACATTCGATCTAAATTTCTCATAAGGAAGCTCCAGTGCCCGCTTCTCTGAGAGAAGGCGGCTCCTTCTGAGAAGCTGAGTAAGATATGTAACTGATTAGAGTGCCATTGAAACCCAGGGAGACTTTGAATTCACGTCCCGAAGCCACTCAGCCACTTTGAGTTTAGTGATTGTGCCCGTCACAAACTGCATAGCGTTTGTTTTGATAGAATTGCCGCTAGAGTATGAGAATAATTCTTTATGTCATAATGATTGGTGCTGCTAACTGGCATGATTTTAGGGGGCAAAATTGTGACTACACGCTGTCAGAGTTGGTAGAATCTGGGGTTGGTTTTTACCCTAGATTTTACTCGGGTAGAAAAGCAACATGTAATCTAAGCTGCATTTAGTGATCTTACTGACGTGCCAAAGCATTTGTAGAATGGGACAGGATCGCTGTTACCCAGTCTTTGTAGAACCAGAAACCAATATATTGTCTTTTAGGGTAAAACTTATACCAAAATATTTATTTTCCCCCATTCCAAGCCATGAGTCAAACATTTTTTTTTTTTCTTTTTTCATAATAGATAAGTCTGAGACATTTTCCATTAGTTTTTTATGAAGTCACTTAACTCTTGTATCACTTCTATATTTGTCATTGTAATTTGGCCCATTTTAAGCCTTTTTAAAAAATGTATTGATATTCTTTGAGGTACTTGATTGCTAAAATGTGATCCTTTTATAGTTACCACAAAAAGTCTATTCAGAAGGAGGCAATCAGTGGCGCACCTTGATCCAATCACTTACAAGCCCTTCCTGAGAGGTGTCTGTTTACAGATGTGTTCCATTTCAGCAGGTGTTTCCATCTCCAGTGTATGTGCTGGCTACAAGTAAATGTGTTCTCAATCTTCTGATCTTATTGATACGTTTTTACCAATGTGTTTCCAAGGAATAAAGATTGTTCTTGCTTATTTGGACTCCATCTTCGCTTTGTTGATTCCTGCTGCTGCATAGAAGTATCATTTGTGGCTGGTCTAGGCATCGGGAGAGTTGGCTTTTGGAAGTCTGAAGGTGAGGACTCAGGTGGCGTGGAGCAAGATTATCCTAGGATGAGGCCACCCTGGGGAAGAGTGGCTCTTGCGGCCACAGTGGCTGAGGCAGTTGGCTCATCTGGGGCGGTTCTAGTACCTGGTCACGGGTGCTGAGCAGAGTGAAGGGACAGTGGAGTTTGTCCTGGCTGCTGTTCCTGGCTGAAAACCTGCCAAGCTGCACCTGTGGCCCTCCTGGGGTTCTGTGCACCGTCTAATACCCTCGAACAAATGCTTTTCTACTTAAAGTAACTTGAGTGGATTCTGTTGTCTGCAACCAAGAAGTCTAACCAGTACAGAGGCCTTCCTGATGGCCAAAGGACGTGTCCACTCTTCACTCCCCGCTGCGTTTGACAGTGGTAATCACGTACTCACAGCTTCCTGTTCTTCTCCCACTCCTGTTTCTTCTTTATTCCTCTAATCTCACATTCTCTGACCCTCTGGCTTTTTCTTCAGTCTTCTTTAATTGGTGTTTTCCAGGGGCCCTTCCTGTGCCCACTACTCTCACTTACCACAGTCGATGTAGGTCTTCTCCTGGCATGGTTTGATGGTGCTGTTGAACCGGAAACCATTGGCTCTACCCCAGACTTCTACCATGATTTTTTAGACTGACATTTCAACTTGCATATGCCGTGTAAACCTCAAACTATGCATGTCAAAATGAAATTCATCATCTTTTACCGAAATAAACTTTCTTCCGCCTGAATTGTCTTTTCTGCCCAAGAATTTATGCCTTGTCCACAACTCCTTCTCCCTTTTGTCACTCATATCCAGGCAATTCCCTTATATTTGTATTAACCCTTCCTGCCTCCTTCCCAACACTGAGCTTATGGGAGCATCTCTTCTCTGGCTGAGAGGTATCCTCACCAATTTCCCTTATACTAGACTCTCCAAACCAGCCCATTCTTCTCACAGTCACTAGGGTGATCTTTCTGGAACACCACTTGCTTGTGTCATTCTGATGCTTAACCTCTACCAGGTTCTCCCTCACCCACA